CATTTCATAATTCAATTTTTTTCCAATCTCAAAAAAAAAAAAAAGAGGAAAAGATTAGTGATTATATGGGTGAAACTAAAATATATGTCAAATATATAATACCTATACAATATTTAGAATTCATAATTTCATAAAGGTATTAACTTTCATTAAAAAAAAAATACATGAAGGATTAGAGTTTAAAAGACAAATCTAATACATATAATTAATATCTAGTGTCTATTCAATATTTATAAGAGTATTATATAAAAAATATAGTTCTATTCAATATTTAGGAGGGCATTATACAAAAAATATAGTCCTATTTAATATTAAAGTTTAAAAAGTAAATCCAAAGTATGTCTAACCAAATACAAGAAGAAATTGGATCCGAATTGATTTTTATTAATTTAAAACAAATTATTAATTAATTAAGAACAAATTAGCAACTAAAAACGGACTTTGATGTTCTTGATATTCTTATCTTTGTACTTTTAATGGTTATGAGTGGATACGTACCTCAACCACTGAGTTTTGATTTTCAGTAGGCATTTCTGTTTTTTATTTTAGAAAAATGAATTTTTTTTACGATATCATATGACATAACTCATTATATATCACTAAATCTAATTTTTGACGTACGTGCCACCGAAGAGAAGGATTATAGAACTTGAGATGAATAAGGGGAGAGTGAGAATGGAGAAGAAGAAAAAGTTGAGAGAAAGTGAAATTGATGAGAGGTTAGGATTTGAATAATTTATTCATTTCTACTTTTAAAATTAGAAATTAAAAATCTAACATTAATTTTTAAGTAATCTAATAAAATTAATAAAAAAAATTCAGGTAATTTTGAATCACCCAATCCACCCGTGACCCAACCCATTTGAGTTTAAATAATTTTAGTCCATGTTATTTTGAATTTTGGATTAATACAAAAGATCAATAACCATATCCATAACGGATAGGTTGAATTGAATTTTCAAATTGAGTCTAATTTTGTTAGGTCTAAAAAAAAATATTTTTTATAATAAAGAGATAGAAACAAATATAAAAAATAATTTAGGTACTAAAATTATTTAGTATTCAAATTTGAACGACTAAATTTCGGGTTTAACATATTAGTGTTTAGTTGTCAATGCTCAATGCTGTTAGTGGATAAGCATGGTGTCGTGCAGCTCAAACCCCTGAAAGCTGAATCAGAAAAAGCCATTATCAAACCTGAAGATCGAGACTCAAGCATTTCTTCAACCAAAACTCCCCATTCATCATCTTTTCCAAACATTTCCCTAAAAATATCGAATATATATATATATATACAGCCTCAAACAAAACATCCAGAATATATACTTCTTTTTGGGAAATTTTTTTTTTTTCTTCTTACCATCTGGCGGGTTACAGATCATATATATTTATATATACTCCATATATATTCTTCTTCTCTTGCATCCTATCTCCTCCAATTTCCTTTTTTTTTTTTTTTAATCTATATATATTGAAAATAAAGTTTTGGGTTTTGGGTCTAGAGGGGTTTAATTTGTTTGATGGGTGCAAACGTGTCTGGTGGTAGATCGGATTGTGACGGAGATGGTTCTTTGTTGAGGAGGCCTAGATTTGATGATATACCGGAGAGTTGTGTGGCATTGGTGTTGATGCGGTTAGACCCGACGGAGATTTGCAATTTGGCTGGGTTGAATCAGGCTTTCCACCGCGCTTCTCTAGCTGATTTCATATGGGAATCAAAATTGCCTTCCAATTACAGGTTCATTGCAGAAAAAGCTCTTGGAGATACAACTCTTTCGACGTTGAGCAAGAAGGAAATTTATTCCAGGTTGACCAAGCCCAACTCCATTGATGATGCCACCAAGGTATATATGTACACGTTCTCTAATTAATTCTTTTTTTTTATTATAAGATAGATCAATAAATTAAATATGTGGGGAAAATGAGTGGGATCAAAGAGAGTTATACAAATTCAAATCCTTATTAATGGATAAGAGGTGAGAGAGGTGACAATATTAATGACTTAAATAATTTAATGATAATTTTTTTTCATTAAAAGTAAGAGATTCTGAGTTCGAGTTGTATGGCATGCAAGTGGAGTGCGATAAAAAAAAGAGAAAGCTCCCTCTAATTGTGCAACTAATATAAAAAAAAAAAAAGTAATGTGACAATCATTTTAATGAAGTAAAATATGCCAACCGTGGTTGTGACGCAATGGTAAGAGTTTAGATGTATGGCACTTTGATTTTGGCTTTGAATTCATTGCTAACTTTAATATATTGTCCCCCCTAAATATAGTTATATAATTTAATTGTCTTATTTAAAAAAAAGTTATTTCAATGAAATATAATTTGACTTGTACAATTCCTCATTTAATCTTAAATTGATTTATTGGAGTTTATAATTTAATTTTAATTGTATTATAATGTGTTAAAGATTGATGAAGTAATAAATTAATATTCATTCCATTCATTTTTAATAGTTTTAATTTAATTTTTTTAATTTTTTAAATATGAATTTTAAATAAAAATTTAACACATTATATGAATGATAATTAAAAAAATTTAATTAAATACAAATATTTAACAAGAATTATATATTAAGAAAAAAAAATTTGACTTGTACAATTCCTCATTTAATCTTAAATTGATTATTAGAGTTTATAATTTAATTTTAATTGTATTATAATGTCTTAAAGATTGATGA